TGCAAGAGCAGTCAGTGCTCTTAGCCACTGAGCCATCTCTCCAGCCCCTGAGCTGTTATCCAATTATCCAATTATCTCAAGGGATAAAATGAAATTGTCAAAGTGCATAATAACTGTTACTTCCATTCATTTTCATGTTTAAGGGCCCAAACCAATAGTTTTAGAATGCAAGAATACGTCTATCCTGAGCATTTGTCGATCCACACATGTCAGTGCAACACTTAGCAGCACGGTCTACTTTGTCAAATTCAAAATTGGTAACCCACTTACAAATTAGAACCACAGACACACATTTACATCATACTCTTGTTTTGTGATTGTTTAATCTTTTGTCTTAGATGAGTATTCATATATGTAAAAGTATACATGATGCTTTGGCACAGTGAAATGATTACTAGTCAAACAAATTCACGTTTATACCATCATCTCACAGCGGCTACCATGTGTAGTGTGTGGGGGGGGAGGGGTGAGGTGCCTAGCACCTAGGCATAGTGACACAGGACTGTAATTCCAGCACTTGGGAAGTGGAGGCTTGAGGATGGTGAGTACAAGGCCAGTTTGGGCTGCATAGCAAGAGGGATCCTGTTAATAAATAAATGAGCAGAAAGTACCTAAAACTTATTCTGTTGGAAAATGTCCAATATACAACATTTAAAAAAATATTTTATCATTTTTATGTATATGAGTATGTTGCTTGCATGTATGTAAATGCACCCAGGTCATGCAATGCCTACAGAGATCAGAAAAGAGCATCGAATCCCCTGGAACTAGAGTTACAGGTGGTTGTTAGCTGCCATGTGGGTGCTGGGAATTGAACCTGGGTCCTGTGCAAGAGCAAGCAGTGCTGAGCCATCTCTCCAGTCCTGACATTGTTAACCACAGTTACTGTACCACTAGTGCTCTAGGACTACTCATCCTGTATAACCTCCACTAGCTCGTGTCCTCCCCTCTGCCTCTCCTTTCTCTCATGTCCCTCATCCCCAAGAGCCGCTCTTCTCTCCATTTCTGTGCCTCTGGATTTTTTTGTTTGTGTAGATTCCATATTTAAGTGGGACCAGGTGGTATATTTCTGTGAATGGCTTACTTCGCTTAGCAGGGCATCCTCCAGATTGATCCATATTGTGGAAAATGGCAAGATTCCCTATCATTCTAACCAATCTGGAAATTTCTTAAACCACCAAAAAGAAGCTGACCATTGCATTTTCTTGTAATTCAGCCCCTCCCCACCCCAGTGACTCAAGGCTTTATGATATGGAAAGCACTGAAACACACTAAGATAAAAATTGGTCCTAGAGTTCATTCATGAATAATTGAGCAAGTATATATGGAAAACCTACTACATTTTCAGCTCTAGAAAGAACCAGGCAGAGAGAAACCCACCTCCAGAGAGCATACCATTTGTAATACAGCTGGTCAAACAGACTCAGCTGGATGAAACTTCACCTCAAGATAAGCACAGATAACTGGTTTCCTCTGTAAGGGCAAAGTCTTTTAGTATGCACATCATTACTTAGATTCCTATGAAGGCTATTTTGAACTATGTATTAAGATTGCCTATGGCCTTCTGATGCCGAAGACTAGGTTAAATCTTGTCTTTCCTTTCAACTCACCCCAACATACCCTCTGCAGTTGGTCTGACTTTTTCTGTGACACAGCTAAGAGTTTTCTATTATCCTTCACTGTTGTCCTGTGTTGCTTTCCGTTGCTAAGGTTTTTTCAGCTCCTCTTCTCCGGCTTCTTATTCTCTTGACTGACAAATATTAACACTCTTCAACTTAAGGTCTTCAGTAACTAACTCGGCATTTGCAATCAGAATTTCTTTTTTTAATATTTTTATTTATTATTTTTATTTTACAGTGTTATGTGTGTATTGCCTGCTTGTAGGTAAGCACACCCCTGTTGTGCAATGCCCGGGAGGACAGAAGAGGCTGTTGGAACCCCTGGAACTGGAGTTAGGGACAGTTGTTAGCTGTCATGTGGGTGCTGGGATTTGAACCCCAGTCTTCTGCAAGAACAGTCAGTGTTCTTAACAGCTGAGCCACCTCTCCAGCAATCAGCAATTCTTTAGACATATCTTGTCTACATAATTCTCTTTCTAAATGCTATTCAAAAATGTCCTTGGGACTGGAGAGATGGCTCATCAGTTACAGCACTGGCTGCTCTTGCAGAGGACCTGGATTTGGTTCCCAGCACCCACATGCTGGCTCGCAATCATCCTTAACTCCAGTTCTAGGGGATCCTACACTCTATTCCAGCCTCCATGGGCATTGCATACACATGGTGCACTTACATATAGGCAAAACACACACATAAAAAGTAAAAATAAGTAAAAAAAAATTTAGATGTCTTCCAAAAGAATGGTTTATTGGAGATTTCTTTCATAAAATTTGCATTAAAATACATTTACAGGGCTGGTGAGATGGCTCAGTGGGTTGAGGAGTTTGTTGTTGGTCTGAAGACCTGAGTTCCATCTCCAGGACCCACATGGTTGGAGAGAACTGACTCCTGAAAGTTGCCTTCTGACTTTCAGGTGTGCGCCATGACATGTACACATGTGTGCACACACACGCACACCAATAAATACATGTAATAATTGTTTAAAAAAAAAGTAATAAAGGAATGATTCCCTCAACAGAGAATGCTCATACTGTATTGTCAATCCCCACCATTACAAATAACGGATTCTGCAAATCACTGTTAAAACTATTTAGTGGCTGGGCATGGTGACACCTGCCTGTAATTCTTATAGGAGGATCACAACAAGTTCAAGGCTAAACAAACAAAATACTATTTATTGATATAAAACAGCAGTTTACACACAGTACTTAGATCCCAAAATTCAATTTTGGGTTCTCTGATATTAAATAAAATTTTTGATATGTTGCTCTAGTTACTTTCTATTATTGTGATGAAACACTGACCAAAACCAACGTGAAGAAGAAAGGATTTATTGCATCTTACTCTTCCAAGTGACAGCCTATCACTGAGTGAAACCAAGACAGGAGTTTAATCAGGGCAGGAACCGAAGCATGGACCATGGAGGAACACCATTTACTGGCTTACCATCCCCCACCCCACCCCTGCTTACTCAGCTACCTTTCTTATATAGACCAGGTCTGCCTGCGCAGGCGTGGCGCCACTCACAGTGGGATGGACCCTCCTTATCACTCAACAATCAAGAAAATATCTCACAGACACAAGCCAATCCAATGGAGGTAATTCCCCAATTGAGGTTCCCTCTTCCCAGGTGTGTCAAGTTGACAACTGAAGCTGTACAGCACACATTAGAAATGAGACTTTAAGAAGAAAACAAAAACTAACGGATAAAAGCTAAGAGAGCCAACTGTTGATTGAGATGTCTATTAACTTTAGCGCAAACTCTGTATTTGAAGCTCAAACTGTGAGCCTTCAAGTCATGCTATGAAGCCAGCGGCCACTTTCCATCCATGATCCTTTTACAGTTTTAACACAGATAATTATGAATATTTGATGAATTCTATTTTTCAAGTGTTCTTACTAACGGATAAAAGCTAAGAGAGCCAACTGTTGATTGAGATGTCTATTAACTTTAGCGCAAACTCTGTATTTGAAGCTCAAACTGTGAGCCTTCAAGTCATGCTATGAAGCCAGCGGCCACTTTCCATCCATGATCCTTTTACAGTTTTAACACAGATAATTATGAATATTTGATGAATTCTATTTTTCAAGTGTTCTTAGAATTGTCAAGCTTATCTTCCAGTTTAAAAAGAACAGATTTGCATAATCCATTACCACAAATGAACTCTCCACTTGAGTTGTGAGGTAGTCGTTATGGACTCTATGACCTTGTATCCTCCATCCATAAGCCTTCTCTTTTCACATGAAAAGTCTGAATAAGAAGTTCAAAAGAATGACCTTTCTTTGCCTTACTGATTCCTAGTGTTTTTATAGTAAACCTATCCATTTTACAACTAAAAATACTAATATTTATTCTTAAAGGTAATTGTTCCAAGAGACAGATATTAACAAAATGATGTAAAATAATCAGTAGTAATGATCAGCTGCTCTGATCCATGCTTTAGAAAACATTTCCAGGTGTCAATATAAAATGTATTCCTGTTCACTTCTTCTGTTGCAAAGTTCAAGACTTCTGTGAAAGGTATGCTTTCAAAAATACCAAGCACTTTGTACAGCAGTCACAGGTGGGACATCAATGCAATCTCAAATGAAACCTTTAATGTTGTGGAGTAGGCTAGACAGACACCCCATGCCAACTTGCCTGGGCAGCCCCAATTTTTCTTAGTAGTGAGGAAACATCATGGGTCATGGTGTCTCCTTTGTTAAGATTAAATAATATTCTCTATCTCTCTCTGTCTGATTCTATCTCTGTCTCTCTTTTTAGCTCTCTCTGCCTCTGTATGTGTCTATGTATATGTGTGTATCAATTATTTTTATCCATATTCATTCACCAAAGGATTTTAGGGTTATTTCTGTGTCTTGGCTATGTTGCATGTGTGGCAATGAATTGAATATTAAGTAGCAGACAGATTTATGTGATTTCACTACCTTTGGGTGTGTACTCAGAAAAGGGAATTACAGGGACCAGAGAAGACCTGGATTCAAATCCCAGTATTGACATGGCAGCTAACAACTGTCTATAACTCCAGTTCCAGGGAATTTGACATTTCCTTCTGCCCTCCCTGGGCATGGCACAACATGGTTGCACATACACACATGCAGGTATAACACTCACACAACATAATTTTTTTTAATAAATTAATAAGATAAAAAGAAAAAGTACTTACTTACTTATTTCTTCCTTCATAACCTCTCCCTGCCAACAAACACATTCAATTCTCCAGAGTGGGTAGTTATTAATATCTTCATTAACCTCCGCATGGTTTTCCCCAGTGACTACATCAATTTACAATCCCATCAAGTTTGTGGAGTGGTCCTTTTCATCACAGCCTTGCCAACACTCCTTTCTGCCAACAGCCTCCTAAAAGGTGTGAGGTATGTGCTTCAGTTTGCAGTTCCCTGGAGATTAGTGACATTGAACCTTTGAATACCTATTGGCCATTTGTTGTTCCTCTTTGGAAAAACCGTTGTTTGTTCAGCTGTATGAGTTTGTTCCTTATATGTTTTTGGCAGTAATGACGTCCCAATATATGGGTCATATGTATTTTTCCCAGTCCTTTTCATTTTGCTGATTGCTTTGGTGTTGCTGTTGTTGAATTGCTCTGCAGAAGCTTCATGGAGTCCAGTTGGTTTATTCTCTTGGTTTATTCTCTTGTTGCCTGTGCTTTTGACATTTAATAAACATTAAAAAAGTTTATTACTTATTATTTTTATTTTATCTGTATGAATGTTATGTCTGCATGTATGTAAGTGCACCTGTGTTATGCAATGCCTGTGGAGGTCAGAAGAGGGCATCAGATCCCATGGAACTGGTGTCATGGACAGTTGTTAGCCACCATGTAGGTGCTGGGAACCAAATCCAGGTCTTCTGCAAGAGCAGCCAATACTCTTAATGGCTGAGCCATCTCTCCAGCCCCTTGATGAAATTTTTATTATTATTTTTATTTTATGTGTATGAGTGTATTGCCTGCATGTAAGATAGGTGCACCTATGTTGTACAGTGCCCACGGAGGTCAGAAAAGGGTGTTGGATCCCCTGGAACTGGAGTTATGGATGGTTGTTAGCCACCATGTAAGAGCTGGGACTCAAACCCAGGATCTCTGCAAGAGCAATCAGTGCTCTTAACCACTGAGCCATCTTTCCAGCCCCAGAAATAGTTTCTAAAAAGTCTTTCCAAAGTTACTATCCAGGAGCTTCTCCCTTACATTTTCTTGTACAAGCTTCATACTTTCATGCTGTACACAGGTTTTCCATCCATTTGGAATTGATTTTTTGTGCATTGTATAGGATGAAGGTAGAGGAATCCATCATAATTTTCTCATCATAATTTACGAAAGAGAGACTGTCCTTTTCCACTGTGTCTTCTGGTAGGTGGCCTGAGTTCATGTACACTTTAAAATCAATGTTCTGAGTTGTATGTGTGGAATAAAACAATATTGGGCCATTGTAAATTGAGATGGAATAGGTGCTTTGTCTCTTCTGCATGGTGTAGACAGTGCTTGCTCAAACAACATAAACAAAAACAAAAACAAAATAAATAAAATCAATATTCCAGTGTAAGTTAACATGGGCATTATAAAATTTTATTCATAAACCTCAGGGAAAACACAAATGCCTGTCATTAAAGTGGCCACAAAGCAAAAATTTTCTCCATCAAAAATCTGTTATTGTATAGCAATTGCTTTCAATTCATCAGAGAAATGCAAATTAAAATTACTTTGAGATTCTACCTCACCTCAGTCAGAATGGCTTACATCAAGAAAACAACTAACAACAAGTGCTGGTGAAGGACAAACCTTTACTCACTGTTGGTGGGAGTGCAAAGTGGCTCAGACATTATGGAAATTAGTGTGGAGGTTCCTCAAAAAACCTAAAACCAGAACTACCACATGACCCAGCTAGAACCACTCCTGGGCATATACCTAAAAGACTCTATATCCTACCAGAGATAACTGCACACCCATGTGTCCCCCTGTGCTTCACAATAGCAAGGAAATGCAACAGCCTAGGTGTGAATGGATAATGAAACTATGGTACATAGATACAATAGAACTTTATTCAACAGTAATGAAAATTGAAATTATGGGCCCAGAGAGATGGCTAAGAGCACGAGCTGCTCTTGCAGAGGACCTGGGTTCAGTTCCCAGGTAGGTAATGGTGGCTAACATCTGTAACTCCAGTTCTAGGGGATCCAGCACCCCCTATGGGCTCCATGAGTGTTGTACACACAGGTAAACTCACATCATGGAGAAAACATACACATAAAATAAAAATAAACAAGAAATTGTAAATTGTGAAATGATTTTTTTCATATTTTATTATTTTCATTTTATGTGTATGAGTGTATTGCCTGCATGTATGTGAGTGCACCCATGTCATGCAATGCCACAGAGGTCAGAAGAGGGCTTCGGATTCCCCTGGAACTGGAATTAAGGACAGTTTGTAGCCACCCTGTGGGTTCTGGGAATCAAACCTGGGTCCTCTGCAAGAGCAGTCAGTGCTCTTAACCACTGAGCCATCTCTCCAGCCCCGTGAAATGATTTCTTAAAAAATTTTAAAATTTTACAGAAAATGGATGGAACTGGAAATCATTATATCAAGTGAGGTTTGGGCTCAGGATACCATATATGCTCTTATGTGGATCTTCGCTTGCAAAGACTAAATATGTGTATGTAAGTGAGAGTAAATATGGTTAGAGACCAAAAAACTAGAAAGGGGCCCATGAAATGGGAATTGAAAAGACACTTTAAGGGAGGAGGGTGGGGAAGACAACCAAGCCTATGAGATATTCAAGTGGAAGAGGGAATATTGGAGGTGAAAGAGTACAGACGGAAAGGTAACAGGAAGATGGGGAGGTGTGCTTGGTGGCTTTATTGTCAACTTGACACATCTGGGAAGAAGGAACCTCAACTGCGGAATTTCCTCTAATGGCCTGTGGGTATGTCTGTGAGGCATTTTCTTGATTGTTGAGTGATGCGGGAGGGCCCATCGCACTGTGGGTGGTGCCACCCCTGGGCAGTAGTCTTAGGTTGAATAAAAAAGGAGGCTGAGCATGGGCCAGAGGAGAAAGCCAGTAAGCAGCATTCCTCTGTGGCCTGTACTTTGGTTCCTGCTCTGGGCTCCTGTCCTGTCTTCCCTTGATGAAGGACTATACTGTAAGATAAAGCCCTTCCTCCCCAAATTGGTTTAGGTCTGTGTTTCTATCACAAGGTAGAAAGTATGGATCAACCAAAATAAAGTATGTATGTAAATGACTTATGCTTAATTTGCAATCCTTAAAAATAACTATAATAAAAAGTTTCTTAATAGCAATAAATTGTCAAAAATACTAAATTTAACTTCTAAGAAAGAACTTTACAAACCTTAAAATACATATGTCATTGAAAACTGAGATTTCTGCATTTACTTCTATGCTGTGGTTTTGAATTATACCACGTACAGGGACTGATCACTTGTGCTAATTAACAAGGCTTGTCTTGTTCTTTACTAAAATAATAATATAACCTACATCCAGTCTTGGGACCATGCTTTAGTCTATGAACTTTGGCTAAGTGATTATAACCATAGTATATGGCAGTATGTATTGTTATCTCCATTTTGCAATAATTTATTCTTGATGACAAAACTGTCCAAGTGATAAGGTCAGGTGGTCTGGTGACAGAAAATATTCTTTCTACTAAGAGCCCTTCTACACTGGTCAGGACACAGCAGAGCATCTTATCACTGAACTAGAAAAAAGGTCCCACATGTATTTAGGTGACTATACAGCTTGAAGCTTCATTTCATGGACCAATGTTCAGTTCACTGTTGGAAGACTGCAGTGAGCACTCAACCTGCCATGTGCCTAGGCCTCAGTAGCACATGAAGGCTTCCAGCTTTCAAGACACAGACTGAGTTCAGAATTATTCTCTGCCACATCTTACCTATGGAATACTGAATCAACTACTCTTCAGTTGAAAGGAGGCACGCTCAATACCTCACAGGAGTTTTGTGAGGGATCAACACTAACAGTAAGGAGAGATGTTCTTGTGTGTGTTTTTGCGTGCATGTGGAGGCCAGAGGCCAATGTCAGTTGTCTTCCTCAATTGCTTTTTACCTTAATTTTTTGAGACAGGGTCTTTCACTGAACCTGGAGCTTGCCAATTCTGCAAGACTGGCTGGCCAGCAAGCCCCAAGAACCCTCCTGTTTCTACCTCCCCAGTGCTAGGATTACAGATGTATGCTGTTACACCTGGCTTTTTATTTATTCATTTATATTTTTTTAAATTTTATGTGTATGAGTGTATTGCCTGCATGTAAGTGCACCCATGTCATGCAATGCCCTTGACAGAAGAGGCTGTCGGATCCCCTGGAACTGGAGTTATGGACAGTTGTTAGCTGCCATGTAGGTGTTGGGATTCAAACCCGGGTCTTCTGCAAGAACAACTGGTATTCTTAACCGCTGAGCCATCTCTCCAGCTCCTATACCTGGTGTTTTTATGTGGGTGCTAGAGATTGAACTCAGGTCCTCATGCTTTCATAGCAAACACTTTACCAACTGAGCCATCTCTCCAGACCTGAGAGATGATCTTATTGAGTGCTAGTGATCACATCACAGTGGAAGGCAGGAAGCCAAGTGCTCAGGCTGAAGGTGGGTCTGTGTTCCAACACTCACAGTCCTAACTCCAGTGTCCCACCTCTACCAGCCATAACTCCTACCACCAAGGTTCTACACCCCCTCTCAAAAGCACCACAACGGGGGCCAAATGCTCAAACATATAAAGCTTAGGAGAGGCTTCCCCATCAAATTCATAAAAGAGCCCCTTACACTGGCTCTTTGGGCACAAAGATGTTCAAGAAACAATTTCTCTCTTACCCCCATTTCAGTCTTTAAATATGTATTTTAACAATTTAATACTTAAAATGTATCATAAGAATGTTTCGTTCTCTGAGTGCCCTTATGGGACAGGCTGTAATTCCATTTTCTAAACTGATAGTGTAGAATATTTGACCAATCACTGACTCTAAAGCAGAAGATCTCTGCTTATTTGAATCCTAGTTATTTTGTGCCATTTCTGTGTATCATACCCTGGAGGCTTATTCTATTTTCCTTTCTGCTGCTGTGATAACACACTCTGAGCAAAAACAACTTAGGGAAGGAAAGGATTTATTTGGCTTAAACTTCCAAGTCAATCCATCATGGGGGAAGTCAGGGAAGGAACTGAAGGAGGAATGTGAAAACAGGCCTGTTTGCTAATCCGTGCAGCCTTACTCCTAACAAGGGAATTCACTCATAGGCGAGGAAGTTCAGCAGAAACCATGGAGGACTACTGCTCGAAACTCACTCACAGGCTCATGATTAGCCAACTTCATTATTTCACCCAGTACCACCTGCCCAGGGAATGGTTCCTCCCACAGTGGGCTAGGTGGAGGGGGGGATGTGGTGGGGGTGATCGGGGTTGGGGGATGACTCAGTACCTAGCTCTGCACCACCCAGCTCTGCGGTGGCTCAGATCCTGCCATTCCAGATCCCTCCCTCAGCCCGCTAGCTTTCGCCCACTCCTCAGGGACCAGCAGTCTTGCCCCAGGTCTGTATGTGCCAGGCCATTCTGTTCTTGAGCTCGCCTGGCTACTGTGCTCCCTTTGTGTTCACGCTTTGGTTCAAGATGGCGCCAAGCCCCTCCTTCCTCAGCTAACTCTCCACAGTCAGTTCTCAGCAGCAGGTCCCATCCCTTTGAGGAAACAGGCAGCTTGGGACACAGCTGTGTTCACAAATATTTGCTCAGACTGTTTTCACTTTACACCTTGTCAACATAACCAAGAACAGAATTTGCTCAGGCCAGTCTATGGCCTTTGACTGAGAAACAATTTTTCAGTATGGTCAAAGGATTATGTGCATGGAGCTGTGGAACAATCCTTTACTAAAGACAGAACTATGAAGGGTGGGGATGTAGCTCAGTTAGTAGAGTGCTTACCCAGCATGCAGGAAGCCCTAGAATAGATTTCCAGAACTGCATGGTGACATATTCCTGCAATCCTAGCACTTGGCAGAGACAGGAGGATCAGAAGTTGCCTTTCACTATACAGGGAGTCCGGTATACATGAGAAACTGTCTCAAAAACATTAAAAATAAATAAACTAGAAAGAGAGCTATAATATTATGGCTTTTTTTTCCCCTCTCAAACTCTTAATAAGATGTTTCATATGCTAAGGCAAAAATAAGTTATGCATTTGGAACAACACAAAGTAAGTGGATCAAACTTAGCCTCCTTAATAGCTTAATGAGTTTTCTGTTCAAAACTAAAGCACTGGCTAGGGGTACAGCTCAGTGGAGGAGCGTTTGACACAGAAGCCTGAAGCATGGTGATTCTGACCTGGTCCTGCAGGTCCTGCATTTTGATCTGAGTCGTGTCAGCAGCTGTCTTGACACACACTGAATAGAAGTGAATATCCCTGAGTAAAATACCATCTCAAAACATAATAACAAGCATGACTCCTACCCTCATGGACCACTGATTCCTCATGCCCTCACTAAAAGGAAACAGGAACTCAAAGAAACCGCCTATGTCCTTGTCTACATTCAAAATGGAAGCAAGGCTTAAGGGCCCCTGGCTTGGAATGTTCATGATATTCACGTCCTCAGGGAGGTAGAAAGGGAAGTGATTCGCTGTAGGAGCTCTACCTGTGTTATCGCTCAATCTTCTGTAAACCGTGAAAGTATTTGCACCTGGTCAGCTCCATTTAAGGCATCTCCTTCCCTAGCACACTTGCACACAGTGCCTCTTCACCTGCTTTTCTTCTGGTAAAATCCCCTATTTGCACAAGTGTACTTCCCAGGTTACTAATGTTCTGACTTACTGAAATTCTCCAGAAAAGCACTCAGCCTTGGTATAAAACCGCTCATGACATGCAGGCCCAGGTTCTAATCCAAGCTTGTGGAAATACAGAATTCCTACTTAGAGGAAAAGATCAAAAGGACTGAAGTTCCCTGCTTGGGGATGAGCTCTGAGCCCTGCTAGAGATGAACTCATGGCTCATAGTCAATGTGTCACTGACTCAGAACCAGTCAAATCTTGGACAAGTCTCTGTGGCTTTAGCAGCAAGCAAATTTTTATGAATTATGGCTTCAGAGTCTCTCTCTCTCTCTCTCTCTCTCTCTCTCTCTCTGTATGTGTGTTCACACTCCATCATCATCCTTCATTGGAGCCCAGAAAGCAATGTTCAGATTTATAATGTGTGATTGCAGCAGCTTCTCTTTCAATGGCATTTAAAAAAAAAAAAAGTCCAAAGAGGCATTTTAATGCATCCAGCTCTGGTTTTCAAGTTTTTGAGCAGCAGTGAACACATTTATAGAGAAATTAATGAGGCAATTTCTCACCTGTAGTCAAAAACCAGACCTTTCTCTATTACCTTATTCTGACAGACTAGCTCCCTGTCCTACTGGGAGGACCTCATTCCTTTCCCTGCATGATGTTTAAGAGCTCTCTAGCTCTCTTTCTGATAATATTCAAACAATCCTCCTGGGTCAGTCTTCAGAATGGCTGAGATGACAGTTGTACAACAGTCTTGCTCTGTAGTGGTTACCCTAAAGATTGCAGTATCCATTCTTAACCCTTGCATAGTTCAGTGTAGTTATAAATATAAATCATAAATATGAAAAATAGCTATCTTGTATATCCTTTCTTTTCAGGCTTTATAGTTGTTTTCATGTGTATATGCATGTCTGTGTATATGAGAATGTCTCTGTGCATGCTGTGTGTGTACAGGTACGTGTGGGGGGGAGGCATGTGGCAGCCAAAGGTCAACCTCAGCTGTTGATCTTCAGGAAGTGTTTTCACTTTGTTTTGAGACCAAGCCTCACGTTGGGAGCTGAGGCTAGTCTGGCTGGACAGTAAGCTCCCAGGATCTGCCTGTCTGTACTTCCCCAGCTCTAGGGTTCTAAGTGTGTCCTCATACCTGGCTTTTTATGCCAGTGCTGGAGGCTGAACTCTTAGGTCTTCATGCTTGTGGAGTAAGCACTTTACTAATTGAGTCATCTCCCTAGCCCTATAGCTGTTTTATTTAATAGATCTACACATGTTATGAAATTCATAGGTCAATATGACAATTTTACGGATTTTGTGTCTTTGTGTGTGTGTGTATGTGTAATGTGTGTGTTCACATGTGCGAATGCTGGTGTATGCATGCTATGGAGCAGGTATTGCAGTCAGAGGACAACCTCGGGTGTCAGTCCCTTGCCTTTCACCTTGTTTGAGGCAGGGTTTCTATTGCTCACTGCTGGGAACACCAGACTAACTGGCTTGTGGGACTCTGGGGATTCTAGTGTCTCTGTCTGCCATCTCTATGTAGGAGCACTGGAATTACAGAGGTACATATAGTGTCCAGCTTTTATGTGGATTTTAGGGGTTAGAACTCAAGTGCTCATACCTCTCATACCTGTGTGGCAAGTGCTTTACCTACTGAGCCATCTCTCTAGCCCATTTTAGTTTTTAAATACATAGATTACAAAAAACTTCAGAGGAAAAGTGAAAAAAAAAGACTTTTGTATTTATCCAGTTCAGCATTTCTGACTTGGGGGCATGATGTAGAGATTAAACCAAGGGCTTGTATACACTAAGCATAATCCACTAGTGACATCCCCCAGTTCTCAATTTCTAGTTTTTAACTGTCTAATTATAGCTGTTGTTCTGACATATTGTTATTCGTTTTCCCCCTCATTCATTTGAAAAAATTATTTATATAATTACAGTCATTAATGCATCATTTCATACCTATATCACGCATTATTCCCCTGGTTTGTGTTTTATAGTTTATGATACTTTTTAAACACAGGAGTCTGTCTGTAGTCAAGTACATTAATACTGAGAAACACTGTCTCCTAGAAATGAGGTTTGTAGCTTTGAAATCAGAGAGATCCAAGTTCAAATCCTGCCTTCACCCACTACCAACTGCTTGCCTCTGCACATTACGTCTCCTGCAGGTGCTACAGTGTTTTCAGTCAAAGAACTGCCCTCATAATGTCAAAGCTTGTGAGACTGCCATTGTGTAAGACAACACATGTGAACCAGCTGCCCAGGGCTGGGCAACGATAGGCACTGTTCACTTGCTATCATCTGTTACCACGCCTTGCATGGTCATCACTATGATCTGTCCTGTTTTTGTGTCTGTGCTTACTCTGAGAGCTCTTTTTCACCCTATGGTGACAGAACTATGTACTTAAGTTTTCTTTAAATACCTCTTTGCCCTCATCACCTAGTCATCTCCTTGCCAATTTGAAATGCTAATCTTCTCAAAATCTGTATTTTATTTTATTATTTGTTTAAACAGCATCTCACGTATTCAAGGTTTGACTAGCCAAAGATGACCTGGAATGCTTGGTTCTCTGGCCTTCATTCTCTTGGATGCTAGGATTGCATGCTTGGGCCATCACATTGAGTTTATGCAGTACTTGGGATTGAACCCAGGACTTTCATACATGCTAGGTTAACACTCTATCAACTGAACTACATCCTCAGACTCCCCAGTTCTGCATTTTACTTGTTCTTGAAACTGTTGATAAATTTAGCAGTTTTGCTTACCCTAGTTTTTTTTTTTTTTTTTTTTTTTTTAAGACAGGTTTCATATCATAGCCTGAATTGACCATGTAGCCCAGATTATCCCCAGTCTGCCAGTCTGGCATCAATTCCAATGTTAACAGGCACAAGCCACTATGCCCCACTGTTTAATTTGTAACGCTCATGTTAATATTGGAAGGTCACATTTCTTTGGTATTCATCCTAATCAAATCCCCTTGCCTTCATTTTCTTTTTACTCCTTTAAAGGAATTTTGGAGTCATTTGGTAGCTGGGCTGATGTGAGAATATGGACAACATGAAAGTTGCAGGTTTCAGTATGAGAACATGGCATGTCTCTTCATTTCCTTAAGTTCCCTTTCCTGACACTGTTTCCCACCTTGTTTCACTGCACAGAGCTGACAATGTTACATCGTTTTCTGTTACACACTGGGTCTTCTGATTTTATGCTCTGTCTCATTTTGATTGGTATTTTCAAAGGAGTATACTACCTGTCATGTGTATGTTTACTTATCTTTTTCTTTTACAACTTTATTTCATTATGAGAATGATCCATTGCAAACGTCAAATGGTACTATACCAGACTGAAAAAAGTTTTCTGCTTTTTAAGTTTTTTACATCTTACTATTAAAAGTTGATGAGTTAGAGTCCATTTCATTCCCATTTTGCAGATAAGGTAACTGGGACATACAGTGGCTAAGTAATTTGTTTCAATTCGAATTAAGGTTCTAGAAACTGATGCTCTTCTGCAAACTTCTGGGTCCCTGCCTCCTGAAGGCGCCGCCGGCTTCGTGGCGGCTTTCCGCACGGGGGCGCTGTGGACACGCACGGCGGGACCTCGGGGTCCAAGTTGCCAGGTGGCGGACAGGGTGGACAGCAGGTGTCAGCAGGCTGCAGCGGCCAAGTGCAGAGTGGGCGTCCGGCCGCGGGGAGGGACTGAGAGGGCGGGACCTCGGGGAAAGAGCCGTGGGGATGCGGCGTAGACGCGGGAGGGCCGTGGAGCCATAAAAAGTGACGGAGCGGGCTGGCGCTGAGCTCGGGCACTGGAGCATTAGCGAGGTGGTGAGGCGCCCATGGGACCATGAAGGGCAATGGCAGCGCGCTGCTCAACGCCTCGCAACAGGCGCCTGGCGGCGAGGAGGGCGCGCGGCCTCGGCCCTCGTGGCTGGCCTCCACGCTCGCCTTCATCCTCATCTTCACCATCGTGGTGGACATCCTGGGCAACCTGCTGGTCATCCTGTCTGTGTATCGCAACAAGAAACTCAGGAACGCAGGTAGGGGCTCAGGACACTTCTCCCAGCGCCAGCCCCCTCAGCTCCAAGAAAAGTTCAAAAAGTCTGTTTCTGACTCCTCCTAGAGAATGGAAGCCACCGGTTACCTTTTCTTTAGCCTGCTCATCCAAAATGTCTTTTCAGAGAGGAAAAACAACAACAACAACAATAACAACAACAACAAAACCCCCACACGTTTCAGTCCCTAGCAGCAGAACACTTCAGTCATTTCATCTGAGGGGCCGCTTTTCACTCTAGCTTCCTCCGGTTCATTAAATGGGTTGAGAAAATTCCTCAGGACTCTTTTTCAAATCAGATCAGATCATCCGTTGTTTGGCTTTACATATAAATCAGTTTTCCCAACTTTGTTAAAATGAGAAGATAATAAGCTGGCAAAAAGCTAAAGCAACTGTTTTAATTTTGTTGTGAGGTGTCGTTTTCAGCTAATAGCATCCAAAGGAAAACAGTAGGTTCCTAAGGATGCTTAGAAAGAGCTTTGCTTCTGCAAGCCAACAAGTTTTTTTTTTTTTTTCTTGGTCTTTTTGAGACAGGGTCTCCCTTGTAGCCCCAGCTGTCCTGGAACTCACTATGTAGACCAGGCTGGCCTTGAACTCACAGAGATCCGCCTTCCTCTGCCTCCAGAGTGCTGGGATTAAAAGCGTTCCCCACCACAGCGGGCTCAAATTTGCATTTTAAAAATAGAAGTTGCAGTGAAGAATGCATTTACATATAATGTAGGACCAGGGTTGGTTTTGTTTGAGTTACACTTGTGTTTGCCTCAAGGGATTAAGTGAACTAGTAATCCTGGGTAAGAGCAGGTTCTCCAGGAGCTGTTGGATATTCAGCCTCCCAAATGGCGTCAGTATGCTTGTTTTCTGTTTCTTAGAGGCAAACTTTTGGAAGTAGTGGTAGGGAAGAAACCATTCACTTAAATACTTGCCAAAAGTGGTATTTGTATCCTAAATCAGATAGCTGGTAGAAGTTCTAATTGTGTTTAGTTGCTTTGGGGGAAAACGTGTCCCCCACTTTTTTCTTGCTTCTGTAATGCTTGAGGCAGTGCATAATTCAAGAATTAAGATACCCAACGTCTAATAATATGAATTCAGTTTGATTTAGAAAATTTAATAACTTCCTTTCACTGATGAATAAACTAGAATTCTGCCTTCAGAATTCAGTAACTCGGTGGTAGTTTTTGCCTAGCAAGTGGTAGAGTGTTTGCCCAGCATTAGTAAAGCTCTAGCTTTGATCTCTAACACAGCAAATAAATAAGTAGTTGGAGGAACAATTCCCTTCTAGTAATAGAAGCAGCTTTCTTATGGGCTGGTTCTAGCACCTCCACAGTGAATTCTTGGGTCAGCCCAATGGTGAGATGTTGGTTAGCAGCTTTATAGAGAAGGACCCAAAGATGTACACTGGGCTTGCAGACTCAGTAGTGCACGGGTCTGATTCTCAGAGCTTGTGTCTGGAGCTTGCCCTGCTTCCTAGTATCAGTAACTGTAGTATTTGGGAAGTCTGAACCCAGCAAGACGTTTTCTTTAAAAATTTTTCATGTTCCTGGACCAACTCTGCTTCTGGTGGCTTATGAAATGTCTTCCCACCCTGACACTTTGTATTTTATTAGCTAAGCAGCTTTTCAAGAAGACAGTCTAGATTGCATTCTTGCAGCTCTCTAGGGGACCCTTAGTGAGCTTTAATCTACAAAGCATCATATTTTTATTATTTGGAATTATTGCTCAAATCTACCACAATTAAGTTCAAACCATGTGAGGCTTTCTAGACTAGATGGTATTTGGGGAAAGAGCTAGAGATACAGGATTCAAATATATTGTTGAATGCTTATTAGAAGCTTTAGTGATTGCTAAATCTATTTGAGTTCACTTTATTTTGTGAATTTTAAAAATGAAAAGAGGGGGCTGGAGAGATGTCTCAGTGGTTAAGAACATTAGCTGCTGTTGTAGAGGATCCAGGTTCAATTTCTAGCACCCACATGGTTGCTAACAACCATCTATAACTCCACTTCCTGGGGATCTGATGCCTTCTTCTGACTTCCACCTGCATTGCATTTCACGGTACACTTACATACATATAGGCAATGTACTCATTCATATAAAAAATAAAAATAGTAAAATATTTTTAAAAATAAAATAAAAATGAAAAGACGAGAAATAAAGAAAATGGGAAAAATATGAAAGCCAAGACATCTAAACGTGGAAGTAGTTCTTTCTTTTGGAAGACTGGTATAATTGCAGAGTTATTTTGCCCTCCTCCTCCTCTCAAGGAAAGAAACTCACAATGTTTAACCACCTGTGTGGTATAGATGTTGACTAATCACAACAGGCACTGGCTCTGAGAATCCTGCTGACAGAATATCAGCTCTGCTCCTGTTCAAATTTTGCTGACTAGAATTGGTACTACTTCATCAAGTATTTTGAGTGAACTTCATGATATGGTGGAAAGATTGCTACGGTGGAGCACTAGGACTGTATTCCTGCTGTCTACATTGTGATTTGAGAAACCAGTCGTGACCCAAACCTCACTTTCCACATTTGTCAGATAAAGATAATATCTACTTTTTTTGTTATTTATTTTTTAGAAGGAGCATTACATTACAGCCTTAACATACTCAATAACAGTTTCCAGAGCAAAGATATATCTCTTTCAAAAGTGACTATACAATTTTTAGGTTTGCTGTTGAATTAATACAATTATACAATATTGAATTCAGTATAAGCCCTGTAAGACATTTTTTCTTTTCTTTTTTTTTTTTTTTCTTTTTAAGTTTAGAGACAGCCTTTAATTGAGCTTGGGGAGTCCAGGTTATTTGAGAAGAGAACTGTGTGTTCCTGATAATGCTCACAATAGCACCTTGGCTCAGAGAATTTTAAAGACTGGGTTGTTAGCAGTAACTTGTTACTTTCCTCTGGGCATCCATCCCTTATTCCTGTAGGCTGATGACAGAGTGTTCTTGTCCGGGGCTTCTGAATCCAGAACAGTGTCCTCTGTGGCATCTGGAGTATGATTTCAAGTCTCCAAATTACTAACAGATATAGTTACCTGTGAAAGATCTTTAAACCAGGGAGATAATACCTACTTTAAAAAACCCTCACACAATACTTTGTTGTAATTGTTGCAATTATCTGGTGAAATGATGCATATGCAAACACTTTGGAAAAGATGGAGAAAATAATGTCAGGTAGCTGTTTGGGCTTCACTCTTTGTTAGCTTGTTAAAAATCATGCCCTGTAGACTTAGATTTTGTGCATTTTTCTCTATGTTCTTTATGCTTATAAACAACTTTTGTTAAACTATAATAATATTCTGCCAATATAACCTGTATAGGATATAGACAAAAGATGAAAATTGACAAAATTGGTAGGTTTTCATACATAGACAGTTGGTTCTACAGAACTCAAGAGTTCCACAAAACTGTGATGCTACTGTCTAGGTCTCCATAATTATAAGCAGCAAATTAGGAGAAAGGCTGACACAATTCAGGAATAGCACAGGGAGGCAGACCATGGTGAAAACAGAATCAATAAAAACATGCCTGGAAAACTGAACAAACCCAGGTGTCAGTGGGCATTCTGTACAGAAACACATACCCCAGGTTCACTTCTGCAAACATTACAGTGCAATGATGTCACTGTTAATATGACCCTGATACTTCTAGGAAAGACCCAACTGCATACACTGTGTTTTGCTTTGGAAATTAGAGCCATCATTCATTTTAGAGAGATATCACTAAAGTCGTTTACAATTATTTCCATTATCATTATTGTTGTTCAATTTGAGTGCATAGCAGGGCAAATAAAATGCCAGTAATTGCAGGGACTGTTGCTTCCTGGATTGGCTCTTTAACCTGATAGTCTGCACTGTGCTGTGGCCCTCTAGTGCTTGTTTCTTTCTTTCAAGTCTCTGTAGAATATGGTCTGCATCTGCCCTGCATTACTTCTCACTGTGGAGATAACTTGGATTTGGCCATTGGGTTTCAGAGATCTGGATTCCAACCTTGGATGCTGCAGGGCTGTTTTAAGATACTCATAGATCCTAGGCATGCACAGGAACTAAAAAAAATAAATTGAGGGAGCTGTAGAGATGGTGCAGCAGTTAAGAGCACTACCTGCTCTTGCAGAGGGATCCAGGTTCAGTTCCCAGCATCCATACAGGCTACTGTTTTTAACACCAGTTCCAGAGGATCCAGCACCCTCTTCTGGCCTCTGTAGGCATTGCACATATGTAGTACACATATGCAAGCAAAAAACACTTATACACATAAAATACAAATAAGTAAATTAATTTAAAAAATTAAATTGAAACATAATTTCTATACAATCTGGTGTGCAGGATTTACATATTCAGTGTAATGTGTTCTTACATACATATACACACATTTGATCAATACTTTTCAGAAAAGGCTTGAAAATAAGGGTGTGACAGATGGTGGTACCATTATTCACAAGTAGAATGGAGTTTATGCCAAAACTGGGTACTGAAAACTACCAACTTGGTCTCTTTTTGTTTTATACCCATGAGTAAACTACTGTCTGTTTTGACTTTGACTCTGCATGAATTCATGTCTCGGGCAATGAATGTTAAGGCTCACTGCCTTCTCCATTGTCGTTGACCCACAGGCACCACCAATTCATCTTGGCTGCACCAAATATCTCGGTAGAGCCCTGGTTATTCTGTGTCCCCTTCTCTGGCTTTTCCCCTTTCCCTTCTTTCCCATTCCAGTCTTTCTCTTCTCTCCTTGTACTATTCCTCTGCTTCTCTGTCATTTTCTGTGTCTTTCTTCTTGAACTTTGCTGTTGTTTCATCACCCTAATTGGATTCTACCTCAGTAGAGGCAAGATCATACTCATGTCGCTGCTTCCAGATTGTGCCTGTTTTATATCAGCAAAAAAAAAATACAGCCTCTACTTATATGCATATTACATTCTACAAGTTCATTTATGAATTTATTTTTTTAATTTTATGCATATGAGTGTATGCCTGCCTGCATG